ATACATGAAAACATAACATGCGATTTGAAGACATGTTGGCTTTGTTTGGTGAGTGAGAAAACGGACTGTTGAACAGTTCACCTAGGTGTAGGTAGATAGGTAATTATCTATCATTTGATTGGTTAATATAGCTTCACGTATGAAATCATGTGAACATATATTCCTTTGTCTAATTTACAGGGTCAAAATTTGGTTAATTGGAGAGATTCTTGTGTACATTCCCCTAACAACACACTTCCTAAACTATAATATTTCTAATGACACCAGTGGATTGCACTTACTGTTAAAATTATGAAAATGTGTCCTATATTGATGAAACAATGTTTGACTTCATTGCCAATGCTATAATAAACTTGGTATGCTCAATAGAGCTTAGGATTTTTTGTGAGATTTTTTAGATTAAAGTATCCAGTGGTTCTAAGTTTCCATCAGTTACAAGGTTTAATCGTTTCTTATAGTATTGAGTTTTTTTCTTCCTTCACGTTCCCCAGTGGAACATAGGGCTTCAAGCTAGTGGCTTGAAGTTTCTGTAGCAGTGTTTATTTTACAGGATGGGGTTGCTAGCCTCATGCCCAACCTTTCCTCTTCACCAGCGTTATTTCTGGGTTAGCGAGGTAAAGGAGTGTGTCGGCCGGACCATATGAATGGTCGGCGAACGTACTAACCGCTATGCCACCGACGCCAATGTATTGAGTATTTGGAAGCAATTATCATTAGATTTTATCCGAGACAGCTACCTTCGCTGACGATGCTATTCAGTTTCCTGATAGAAATTACAATTGAAAAGAATGAGTTATCATGGGGATAGAGCATGTACTGACACAGAATTACAAGATGGGATGGGACAGAGCAACAGTTCTAAAATGTAAATAGGTGGGGGGAGGGAGTGGTTTTTCACCTAACCTAATGTGTGTAATGGGAATGACGCAACGCGAATACTTGAGAGACGTGAAATATTACTACAAATAAAATCAAAAGATTCGAAGTAGTGGAGCATTATAAACAAAGTTTAAAAGTTATATGAATACCTTGATGTGATTATAAGCAATAAACTCTACTCGAAACGTCATTAGTAAATAATACTGTGTCACTACTTTTTTATTAGTGCATCGGTGGTTCAGCGATAGAACGCTAACCAACTACACATATGGTCCAGGGTTCGACCCACGTCCGGTGCACTCCTACACTTCATTAAGCCGGCAGTAAGGCTAGTGCAGAGAGAAGGCTGATTGTGAGGCTAGCAACCCTATTCCGTAAAAATAAAAGCCACTGCTACCGAGAGTTCAAAGCTATAGCTTGAAGCCCTATGGTCCAATCGAAACGTAGAGCAGTAAGGATTTTTCATGTAAAACTGCTCTATGACGGAAGTAATCAGCTTTAAACTAAAATTTATTTAACTTGAACTTTGAATTTCAAACGGTGATATTCCTACGGGTCCTGAATATAATTTCGGACGAAACAAGTACACTATGATTTACTATGAATAAATAAAACTATTTTACTATCAGATTTCTTAAAAAGGAGAAAAACTTGTCTAATTTACAACAGTTATAAAAATATTGTGCTCAGACATTACACTAGCTATGAAAAACAAAGTAGTTATCCAGAAGATATTTTAAACTAAAGGGACTAAAATGTCAATAATGCGTTAATTCACGAAAAATACCCATCCACATAATGAAGTAAGAACAAATAGTTCAGCAAAGAGACTCATTTCAGCGAATTCATTCACACAGCTGTACAGTCACAAATGTATATAATTAATTTTGTATGCGTGTGTACATTTAATCTGGCAAACATTGCAATAGAATACATCAGTCTGGAATACTGTTTACATCTTCAAAACGCTGAAGGCTAATCGGATTGTCACTGTTGGAGTGAAGATTAGTAGAAACTGAACAAACAGTCTCTGGTTAGACAAAAGTCAAAGAAGCCTCCCGGAAAACGGTGAGCTCCCGTATACTTTGCATTGCTGAGGCCTCAGTGATCCGGTTAGGAAACCCTAGTTTACGTTCACAGAAGAAACTTCTCCACCTGCTCCTTCTACCCAGGGTATAATTCCAAGTTCTATTACTTTGTTAATAATGCTCTTTTTTTAACTTTTGTATGACTTCTCAGTAACATCATTTTCTTAACCAACCCTTTATTTACTCTTCCAAACTATAAAGTAATTTTTTTGGACACTTGTCTCCATACTCTTTCATTAGCATCCTATTTTTCTGGGTGTCTTTCATATTACGCACCTTTTGTCAACACTTACTAGTCTTCACCACCCTAGTTACAATTTGATAATTCATCACATTTTCGAAGCACTTTGATGACGTAAACAGTGACCCTAACTAATTTTTATTATAATTTTGTTTGACAATCCTAATGTACACACACACACACAATAATTGGATATAAATGCTGTTGTACAACTAATTGAATGAATTCACCGAAAACAGACTCTTCACAAAACTTTTGTTCTGATATTCATTCTTGGATTGGTATTTTCCGAAATTTTTGTGAGTCGGTTGTTCAATGGGATAAGTTTAGAGAACCATAAATATGGTCGGGAGTTCGACGTCAGGCCGACACTTTTCTAAACCTCACTAAGCTGTCAGTAAGGCCAGTAAAAAGGAGAGGCTGAGTGTGAGGCAAGCAACTTCATTCCGTAAAAAAACCTTTTCTACTGAAAGCTCC